CTTTCAGGCTGCGAAGCAGCGAGATTGGCCGAGCTTCGTAGCAGCGTCTCTTTTTCTCGGAGCTGCGAGCGAGAATCTCATTTTTTAATTGAGGCCTTCCGTGGCGTTACCGTCCGGACTGCTTAAAGTCCCTATTGTTTCTATTGTTAAGTAACTATTCATAATTTCGAGCGCAACACAGTTTCAAGAATGTTTTTTCTTCCTCGCCGATGTGTTGCATGAGGGCAACGAAAGTGTTACAGAGTGAAGAGCGTGCCAGTGTCAAGCAATCTTCAGGCAGGAAGTATTAAAGCCATCTCCTCGATGTTGGGCGACCAGTTCTAGAAGCTTTTGCTTCTTCTGCATGCTGTAGGACGATTCAAGTTCGTAAATGGTACACAGGTTAAAAAGAAGCCCTTCCTGAAGATTTGTTTTAGGGTCTTTCCAGATGATCCTCTCCACTAAAGAAAGCGCCTGAAAAGAATAACCACAGAATAAGAAACGAATGAGCTATCTTCAGTTACAGGAAAACACCTTTTCGGACAACTGTCTGAGTTCTGTAACTAGTCACTTTTCTCTTGGGCTCTTCCAACAATCAAAACAAGCACCATCATTTACCCAAGCCAATCAAGAAATAAATAAAAGTCGATTATTGGTTGGGCTTTCGCCTTTCTTGCGTTTGTGAATGGCTGCCGTCTTTTCTAGTTCTTTGCCATATTTGGGGTTTTTTTAATTACCCAACGGTGAATCATGATTTATTAAGACTGATTTCATGGCAACGTTGCTACTTAGAGAAACTGGATGCATGACGTTGTCTGATCGATCGTCGACACCACACCCGTTGCTTTTTAGTTTGCTCTAATTTGAACCAATTGAATACTTTTTTGGTGGCATAAACAAATTAACAGCTTTTTTCAAAGCACATAACCACCTGTGCACGTTTCGGTCGGCGATTGAAAGTCGATTGTTAAGACGTTTGTTTCAAATTCGTTGTGATGAAGTTACAATGGATTCAAGGATTGACATTGAATGAAAGCGATCGTTCAACAAACAAACAAACATCACAGTTTCAAATGCACTATAGCATTGTTTTATGAGAAGGCAATAAACTACCGTAAATGCTCGAGTTAGCGCCCGGGCGCTTATTATGATTTTCTAAGGCGAGAGGGGGGGCGCTTATTTGAAGCTGGGCGCTTACTTCGTTTATCAATTTTTAGCCTCAAAATGACTCTATCTTTATTTCTATTGGGAGCAAAGTTTTACGAGGAAATTGATAAAGTGAAGCAGCTATGTGCTCACATGGATATTTCTATCAAGGAAATGAGAAGCAAACCCGTGCGACTTTGAAAGGACATTACTATTTATTCTATTTAACAATGTCACATTTTATTAAAAGAACCGTATAGACCGTATACGTCTGGTATATCGTACCGAGTACCGAAACTGATTTTTTTCTCGGGGGAGGGGGGGCGCTTATTTGAAGGGGGGCGCTAAGTACAAATTTTGAGCCTTAGGAGTGGCGCTAATTCGAAGCGGGGCGCTTATTTGAGGCTGGGCGCTAATTCGAGCATTTACGGTATATGGTATATCAGACTTACCTCTTTTAGCTTGCCGAGATAAAGCAAACAAACAGCCACATTGTTGATGGCCTGCGCCCAAAAAGACAAAAAATAACCACAAAAAACAAAACAAAACAAAAAACCGTTTAAGAGAAAACTCATAGTTAAAACCAAGACAATGGAGAATTAAGGTTTAAAGGCGAGACTGGACAGGGTGTTAAAGACTGGGGCCGAATAAAATTCAGTCTAGCAGCTACTAAGAGTCAATGTAAACACTTACCACCGAACTATATGGATCCAATTTAGTAGCAGCTATAAAATGTCTATGAGCTTCATCATATGATCCAGCAGATAACGCAAGCAAGCCCCTATTCGGGAATAAGAAAAACTTTGAGCCGGCAACAAGAACCTCTCCCACGTTGGTAGGAATTTACTTTGTTTGTTCATTCAACACTAGGAATTAGCGCGTTTGTAATCGAAATCTTTTCATGTTCTTTGCTTGCTCTGAGCAAAAGCACCTAATTTCACACCACACTAAACATTGTGATCATAACAATAAAGGAAATGTTAACCGCCTCCCGGTTAGCTGGACTGTCGTACGGGAGGTCGAGGTCGATGGTTCGAGCCCCGGCCGGACCAACACTCACGGTCTTAAAATAACTGAGGAGAATGCGCTACCTTTCTGTAACATCAAGAAATGGATAGACATTCTAGTCTTCTCGGATAAGGACGAATAAACCGTAGGTCCCGTCTCCTGCATCTATTAATTTCTTTAATTTGGTTAGGCAGGGGACGTTAAAGAGTTAAAGAACCCACTCACGAGATTACTGTGATGTGGTCTGGCCTGTTTACTGGGAATTGTGGGGGGGAGGGGGCATCTTCAAATAAGTTTCCTTCGACTGTTTGAAAACTGCTGATGCAGTCCGGCCAAAGTCCCCCGAAAAGTGTTGTGATGCGAACTAAAGAAGCCCTTGACTGTTGGACAAATTCTCCATACATGCACCATAGGAAATGTATAGAGAACGGTATGGAGAACTGATATTAAGTGTTAAACCTACACAAAATAATGGGAGAAAAATTGGCGCATGATTTTTTTTAATGGGACCTAGTACGCGCTACGTTTTCTGGCATCGCGCAATCCTTCAGTAAAGGAAGTGTAGTCAGGTAACTCTTTACTGCTCCTCCATAAAGCTAACGATCGAAAAGCCGCCATTCTAAACTTTGCTCCTGCAAATCATTCAACCCTTTAAAATTCTGGTTTAAAATTAACTTTTCCCGCAGACGCAGCACAACGATATCATTACAAGCTGGACTCCCATGCGAATTGGGAAAGGAAGGGTGACCAGATTTAAACTTGTCACAAAAAAATTTTCCAAAGTGAGCACCTACTTATTCATGACTACACTGCTGAGTGAGTTTGGGTCACCAGTCGCTTTTGATTCCACCTGCTTGAAATAACTCTGTGCCGTTTCCAAGTCTCCAAGCTGTAAACAAACATCGCACAAGGTAACATCCAACAGAGTGTCGTAAGAAATTCGGGATTTCTAAAGTATTGTTTCAGTACAATATGTGATTACTCAAGAAAACTCGCGCAAAATCTCTTCCGATGATGTTTTCCCGCTTTTTTTGCCCTCAGTTCTCATTGGCTACTTGTGATCTTTATCTTTTTCTGATTGGCCGAGATTTCTCAGGTTTAGTTTCAACTACACTCTATGATTGGTTAAGAAAACTCCCGCACCCTCTCAGCCAATCAGATGAGGAAGTTCCAACAGTCGATTGGTCGCATGCGTTTTCCCGCGGCTCAGTAAATTTGCCTCAGTCTCAATACCCGCGCCCATTTTGGGTTTACGAAGAAAATGAGTCTTAGGCAACAGACTTAAAAATGGAGGTAAAATATATAAATAACTTACGCGGCTTACCTGTAAGTAGATTCTTCCTATTCCAGATAACAAATTGAATGCACAAGAAGGATCTTTATCCATAATAGACTTGAACACTGTCACAGCTAAACTGTAATCCTGTAGGTTTGAAAATATTGTAAATATGTGGTTAGCACTTGGTATCATTCAGCAGGCCTTCTGTGGAAACGAGTTTGAATGCGCAAGAAAAAAAAAAAATCGCAGTAACCCAGTACAGAAAAGTTACTTTTCATGAAAAGACCAGTTAAAGTCAGCTTCTTTTAGTATTTCTGATAAAAAAAAACTATTCCTAATCATATTGCCCAGCGTGCGAAATCTGTGTTCTTTCACGGTGCAATAATCCGACATCAACAATAACAGAGGCTACAATAAAATAAAATAACGTTAAGTCATCCTCCATCTTCGATATTGCGCTGATCCATTCACCCTTTGACTCCCGAGATCTGGATAATAATTCTCGCCTCTATATACTATACTATACCTTGTAGATAGGCTAAGAGAATTATACTTAAGAAAAGAAATATAATAGAAATTTAGTTCATCTCACCTTCATCCCAAGAAAACAGTTTCCTATCGAATACAGAAGGCGCACCTCTCTGGAGATCCACAACTCTATAGCAGCTGAAAAAATAAACAACAACAACAACAAACGGTAAATGACTTTTTCATATATTATGCATTTTTTTCATTTAGTTTAGTAATAACAGCATTAAATTAATCACATCAGCACCTCGGGTTCAGACAGAGGATGTTGTTACAAGGAGCCAACAAGAACTTACAGTGAAGGGTCTAAAGTGGCAGAAAACGTATCACTTTCGACACTCAGCTTTCAACACCAAATTGAACATTTCTGTGTCATGTGGGATTTACTTTACCCAATCTGTTCTCGGGTGTCATCTCCCCCTCACCACCACCCTCGGTCAGATTGTCCTGCAAGTTTTTCTGAATCCTACAGCATGTCCTTAGCAGCTCATAAAGGTTGTCTAGGGCATCCTTTGGTCGACCCATGTACTGGGGTAGTTCTGCCTGCAAAATCCGCAATGAAAATGGTACCATAGACCCTGTAAACCACAGAAAAAAAGGGAGTAAAGACTTCGCTTTGAACGGAGCTTAGTTATTAAACTCTGCAGACGAGGGGATCCGTATAGCTGAGAACCTTAATTCACCTCATCGAAAAAAAAAAAAGAAATGGTATCACTTCGACACGTACCTTTTCTTCCTGGATATGTATCAGGGTAAAACTCATAAAACTGGTCAGGCTGGTTAAAACTTCCAAAGGCTTCTAATTCAACCTCGGCAGTACTAAACATCTGTAGCTTGAACAAAAGAGCTATTCTACAAAACCAAACCTGTAGGTAGGTGACAAGAAGACCAGCTCATCAGTGAGACCCCATAGTAACTACCCCTCCCTCCCCTTAAGTCATATTAAATTCCCTCCATATGGAAGTATCTTGACAAACAAGAAAAATGGTGGGAACTGACGGGAGAGGGGAGCATACAAAACCATTTAAGGAACCATGCTTGGGATAAAGTCAACATCTGATACAAAATCTTCATAGAAAAATGTTTGTGACACAAAGAAAATCCTAGTACCTTTACTAAAACTAGAACTCTTTATAGGTGATTTTAATTATTGAATGCCTCTTTTGACTCCCAATCATACTCAGTAGCTAATACAGGTTCCACAGGAAAAAAAAAATGATAAAGGATGCCATTTCAGGCCATAACTGACCACTTAATGTACAAAATCTAGCTCAAAAATACTACTAACATTGATTTTGGAAGATAAATATGGATTAAATTTTACTTGTAAAAATTAATTATTCTTATTTTTATTTGAGTGGTCACACTTGAAGTGACCATTTAATACAGATGGACAACAACAGAAACAGGCCGTTGGGACTAAGAAAAAGGTGACCAAAACTGTTTTGTAGAGGTGACTGCCTAATAGAGGTGAAAATTACAGTGATTAAGGGGAAAAAAATTCCAGACTTTGAAAACTGACAGCTTTATACAAGGTGACTGACCCCTACTAACACCGTGCTGCTTGATACAGGTTTGTCTATGTCTGGGTTTGTTACGCAGAATTTGTATAGCTACATTAACACATCTGTTATGACTCTATGCAATTGTACACATGGAGATCTTACTCATATATCATTACCATCATCATCATCATTTCTATTATTGCAAAGTAAACAAAAACTGAGCATGTAAAGATGAAACAATTTTAGTGTAATAGAAAAATCCGAGCCCCAGATGGGACTTGAATGCTTTAATGTGACAGCGTGATGCTGTTAGTGAGTTTCACAGGCGCTGACCAATACTTGGCTGTGTAGCAGCACGATGGGGTTCCAGTCGAGGCCCACAAATTGACCCTTGTTCACCATAGAGTCTCCAGTAGCTCAGTGGTTAGAGCATCCAACTAGATCATGGAGGGTCGTGGGTTCAAGTCTCATCTGGGGCTCGGATTTTTCTATTACACTAAACAAAAACTGAGTAGAAAAAGGAAAATCAAGAAAGAAAACCAGGAAAAACAAATAGGGGAGGGATAACTTCTTGGCATCTGTTTTCAGCCATTTTTACACATGTATTCAAATGTTTGCATTTAATGTGAAAGAGGGATCTCTTTTTGTAAATTTTCTACAGGCTTTACCTAAAGGGTAAAGGGAGAGTGAACAAAATGAGAGGTTGTTCATTGCCATAAAGGTTACTCCTAGTCTATAGAGGTTTTGCATGGCAGCCATGTTGCATGGCAGGAACAATGAAAATATTTTGCATAAGAAAGAAATTTTTTTCCCATGCAACATGGCTGCTGTGCAAAACCTCTATACCTGTAGGGTCTTGTGGGTGTGTAAGGCCCTCTGACCCTTCTGTCCCACACCCTGGCCATGTGCTGTCAGGAACCTGGTGGTAAATTCCAGAGCTGCTCGCCAGCACTGTTGTCTCTGAAAGGAGATTGGGATTGGGACACAACTATAGCATCAACTATTTTATGATTATCATAACAAAATGGCAATACTGTTGTACAGTGAAAGGTGGTTCCACTAGCTCAGCTGAGAACTGACCCATGGCAACTGACATATGGAGCCAAAGTTATCTCATATTTGCTGACTGGTATCAACAACCTAACTAACAACAACCTACCTTTCATGTGACCACACCCTACAGGTAGGCCCTCTGATATCAATGAGTTACTGCAAAGCCTTATGAGTATGAAACAACTTGGTGTACACCTAAATTTGAATGTGATACTGGTTCTGGATGCAAAAGTTGTGAACTCTCAATGATGGGTTCCTTTGACATACCAGTAATTCTCTGAGCCCTGACTCATCCAATGGAACACTGTCAACACTCAGTGTCTTTCTATTTTCTGCATCCTGTTCACCCATAAACTTTGACATCAGCTCCTTCACTGGGTCTTCCTAAAAAGTGAACATGGATTGCACTTAGGACTATGGACCATTAAAACTGCCTTGCCTAAATGGAAAGTGGCTGCCTGGGGTATCCAAGAGCTTCCACTATCTCCTAAGTGAGCCAGCCCCCAGACAGAAAACTGCCTCCATGGCTGGCAAATCCCAACAACCCAGCTACAAGACCCTATTCCAAGTACCCATCAACAATGTTTAGACCAGTAAAATAAAAAAGGGGTGCCTTATAATGGGGAGGTGCTTGAAGACAAACTCTACAAAACTGCTTAGGACTACTAAGAACTACTGCCACCATACTACATATGAACTCCACGATACAGCTGAAATGAACCGTGAAATTCTACCTTCACCTACACTTGTGACTGGGGATAAGAACGGGCATTGCTAAGCTTGTGGGCATTAACTTTGTTAATTTGTCATTTACCTAAATGAGATAAGTACAAAGAAACACTCCAGAAGCAGAAACCAACCTGTGGACCTTCAATAACCAATCCAGGAGATGTTAAGAACTGTTGATCGACATCTGCTGGATTCAGCATACCTGATCCAATGGTGACAAGAAACTGATTAGTCTGAGGTGTCGCTATCCAAGCTGAGGATCTTCTCTCAGCTTCAGTTTGTTTGCTTCTCACCCACTCTCCTTCAGGGGTCGGCGGAGCTGAAGGGCGTTTTTGTTCCTTCAGAATTTCAAGTTTGAGACTGGATGATTCTTGGTTTTGCATAGAATTAAGAGGATCATCATAGACCACTGAAGTTTGACTTGGAATTGGGGCAAGAGGTGGCATGGGAGTTTCAGCCCCTTGGAATGGAGGCCATTGATCTGAGACTTGTTGCATTGTGTCCTGGTCATTCACCATCTTGAACTCCAAATCTCCCTGAGATGGTTCTGGCACTGATTGTTTTTGAGAGGGTTGATGAATTGGCTCTGGAAATTCCACTGATGCTGGAAACTTTTGTCCCCCTATTTGTGAAAATGGATCAGACGCAGCTGGGGCAACAAGAGAATCAAAGAAGCTTTGTCCTTCTGCATCACCACTTGCACTGGTGTTCGAAGAAAACAAATCACTGAGGGTACGGTTGTCACCCTGCTCTGATGGTACCCCTTGAATTTCCACACTCTGAACAGATTCATCTGACAATATGCTGGTAAACTTTGTTTTGGTAGGACTTGTTTCTGGTGAACTTTCATTCATCCACTGACCCTCTAAAAAAAACAAATTCAGTAACTCAGCAATTGTGCAACTTAGTACCCCTCCCCTAACCTAACAGTAACCCTAAATTGTTATCAAGTGACTGTCATTAGATAAGGAGAGGGTGGGTACACAGTAACTCAGCAATTGTGCACCAGTACCCTTCCCCTAACCTAACAGTAACCCTAAATTTTTATCAAGTGACTGTCATTAGGTTAGGAGAGGGGTGGGTGCACAGTAACTCAGCAATTGTACACCAGTACCCCTCCCCTAACCCAATATTAAACCTAACTTTTTATCAAGTGACTGTCAATTTGTTAGGGGAGGGGTGGGTGCACAGTTGCTCAAATACTGACATTGATCCACAAATTCAAGGACTCTCACTTTTATTTCACATGACTTCATCCACCTGTCCATAAAAAGGCATAGTTAACCCTTTAGCTCCCAGAAGTGATTAACAAGTAACTTCTCCCTGTAAGACCCATACACAATTCAACAAACAAGTAATGAGAATACTCAAACTCATTGGTGGAAGTTGTTCTCTTGATCTAACACCAAATTCTTGTAACTAATTTACAAGGAAATGTGTAGCAGCTGGAGGAGAGAATTTACAATCAGATCAGGATTAAAGGGGAGAGGGTCCTTAAGTGCCAATAATCATTGATTGTTTTCATGTTCACAAAGAAATTTCCAAGCTTATCATGTTCCTATACAAGGAAGATAGACTAGAAACAATCCTGATCAGCTATCTAACATGTATGATATAAGAGTCCAGTGAAGGAGAAATGGTGGACGAGAAAGGGAAGTCTAAGTCTCTACCCCCTCTCTTTTACTCAACCCATCTCACTTGAGTTTGAAATACTTCCCAAATTAATTCTTTAGACCCAAACATCAGTATACATATTTTCCATACCCTTGCATTGCTGTGCTCTAAGAAAGATTGAAGGGAGCCCAGTGCTCAGAAACTGTGAAATCCAGGGTGCCCAGAATATGCTTTTTATGAAAAAACTAAGATTCCTGAGTCGCCCAAGAACAAAAGTAAGGCACCAGGGGCCACTGGGAGCTTCTAGACCACAGCCCTGCCTTGGAGTAATTCATGGGTGACATCGTAAGAAGAAATTAGATGCTGGTCACTCTTAGAGGTTAAAGGATTAACTATCCATGCTGTAAAGGATGACTGAAAATGAGTCAGGGCGACTACAACTCTCAGGGTGTAACAGCAAAGACGATCAAATTGGCCATAAAATCTGCTACATTTCATGAAGACCTTGAAAACTTACCCTCTGGACTTGGGCATTGCCAGCCAAACACATTGTTCATTATCTCTGGGTTTCGATAAAGCCAATTTTCAAACTCCTAAGAACACAGATAAGACTAAATTATCTATCAAAGACTTGAAATCAGAATTTTTTTCTTCATGATATCTAGATCAAAAGACAACATCTACCTAGTGATTGTTGTCAGAAATGATTATTCAATGATCTTCATGGTTCAAAGCAAAAGTCAGGACACCTAAATATATCAAAGTTATTACAAATTTGCATGCCAGAGCATTTTTTGTTGACTACATTTAACTAACCTTAGCAGAAAGCTTTCCTGTTTTGGACACATTACCAGTATCAAATGCATCACTGACAATCCTGAAACAGAATTAATACAAGTCATGGTGGTTAAATCAACCAATCAAACACTATGTTAGGTAACTTACATTCCTGGTAAAGTTTCTTCAATTGCCTTCACTCAGTATACATTTTTCAAAATTGAGATCCCATCCCAAAACCCTGGAAAAATAAAGGGTATAAATTTCTAAAGAAACAGTGGTGCTGCATCAGTAGAGGAGTGTTGGAAGATACAGGTAATTTGGTGTTATCAACAGAGTTGATAATGTAACTTGGCCACCATGTGATTTTCTTACTAGGCTCCAACACCCAACTACTAAATTTTCAAAATCAGGCAAACTAATTGATTACAAAAACCTTGAAACAGTTTCAATCAGCTTGTCTGTCTTGTTCCCCTCCATAGGCTGTTCTGTTTCTTCCACATTGTCCAATATAATTTGCGCTGACTCAAGAGAACTTAAGAGAACAGCAGTCAGTTCATCTCTGCTAACACCATCATCATCAGACTGCAATCAGAGAAGGAGATCAGATGTGATATACCTCAGGATGTATATGTTAAAATGAAGGTTTTGTAGTAGCAGAGCTCGCAGCACATGCAGCATAGACCCATAATTATACAAAATAGTGGTAATGACCCACTAAGCTGAAAAAATTTGGACTTATGACCATACAGGCATCCGTACAAGGTGCTACTTTTAGTATGCATGGTCAACTGTACTGCAGGCATGCCAATGCCATGGCTTTAGTCTTGTCCAGCGGGTGTTTGAGCACAATGCATGTGCTACACTTGTACGTAGCTGAGGAGACTCTGGGTTTGAGGTGAATTTAGTGGATGGTACGTTAACATGCACTTTATCTATAGTAGGAGCTTTAGTTTTGTTGACAAGACGTACGGGAAAAAAAATGCAAGCTACGCTTTTAGGCTCGGCTAAATCTATATATTATTTTCAGTCTCCATGGTGGTAACTTTTGGATTTTGTGTGAACAAATCTTGCCATTTGAGGCAACAAAAATTTCTGCCAGGAGCTTAATATATTTGCAATTTTCTGTTCTATCAGCAGATAATTAGCAAAGGATCAAAATCTAATAATTTCAAATTTTCCAGTGTCTTGAATTAGGCAAAGGTACAAGGACCTACAATGATCTGTAGTTGGATAACTTGAGTGAGACCAAAAAAAAAAATTATGTACAAGTTGACACTTAATTAGCATTCATAGTTTTTTTATGCAGAACAAAAAACAGCAGGTTCTCATGGAACTTTATTTAAAAGGATTTATTGATGCAGGAACCTATTTTGCTTTGCAGATCAAACGAAATCCAATAATTTTTCTCGCACAAATAGTAATACGTATCAAAAATAAGTACCAGATTGAAAATGTGGAATAGTAATCTGCACTTGTCCTTCACTTTCCCGTGCAAGCAAAGGGCTATCCCTCCAATAAACTCTTCCAAATCGATAGTACCACTCTGTAAGGAAATAAAATCATCAATAACCAAGAATGCAATGATTGTTAGCACTTCATCATTAATTTTTTTTTCGTTCTTTCCTCTGTTAAGATGCAACTAGGAAAGCCCGCATTCCAATAACAAGGTGTTCATCTAAAAATAGTCTATTGATTCTGAAGAAAGTTTGAAAAACCCTCCCACCCCTCTGGAAATTACACATCTCTTCTCACATAAGGACTGTACTGTACTGGTTAGCAGGGGAAGTTAAAGAACCTACACACTTATACATACATACATACATACCTCAGTTGACCACTCCCCATGGGGGCTTTTCAGGGCCAATTCCCACCCATCCCACCCCAGGGGAGGACATCCAAGACACAGTAATCTCGTGTGTGGGAAATTAACGTCTCCTACCCCTAACCCTGCAGGAGACGGGGCCTACGGTTTATTCATCCTTATCCGAGAAGACTAGAATATCCATCCATTTCTTGCTACCTTTATAGAAAGGTAGTAATTTCTCCTCACTTATTTTAAGACCATGAGTATCAGTCCAGCTGAGGCTCGAACCCTCGACCTCCCGTACAACACAATCCAGTGCTCTAACCAATTGAGCTAACCGGGAGGTGGTAATCACAAAGAGTAGGGAACATATATAGCTCCCGGTGTTGTGGTCTGGCCTTTTCACTGAAATTGGGGTAGGGAATAGGGAAAGGTAATTTACCTATTTGGGGATAATCTTGTCCTATTGTAAATTTACCTGCCTTTGGAAAATTGTTTAATACAATACAATATCTCTTAGAGCATCTTAGAGCATGAAACTTCTATGGTAAGATCTCGCTGCTGAAAGGGTAAAGTAAGCTTATGAGACAGATGCCCCATTCTTATGAAGCTTAACCCCAAACTCCCAGGATACAATGAGTACTTCTCCCTTCTAACTCCCTTACATTTCATTGAAGAATAGACAAGAGAATTTGGCATTACATCAAGATAACACCAGCTCACAGATAGGCTTGTTTGTACTCATACCTTGTTTGCAAGCTTACATATTGGAAATGTACGGAGAAATTACATACATACATACATACATACATGGTACATACATACATACATACATAGGTTAATTGACCACTCCCCATGGGGGCTTTTCTGGGCCAACACCCACCCATCCCTTCCAGGGGAGGACATCCCCCACAAAGTAATCTCGTGCATGGGAAATTAACCTCTCCTACCCCTAACCCTGCAGGAGACGCAGCCTACGGTTTATTCGTCCTTATCTGAGAAGACTAGAATATCTATCCATTTCTTGATTATAGAAAGGTAGCAAATTCTCCTCACTTATTTTAAGACCATGAGTATTGGTAGATAACTTCTGGGAGTTAAGGATTAACTCGGTTTGAACAGCATAAAGCAACTAGGTGTATTACACCCCC